TGGGAATTTTTATTTGTCCTGAGAAGACAAAATGGTGAGATGAAAGCCCCTCGGGGGCATTTCTGATGCTCAGATCCAAGCAGAGGGAAGGTGATGTGGGAGGAGCCAACAGCAGGTGTCTTTCTCAGCTTTTCTGACCTTTGAAGACAAGGTGAAAAAAAATCATCAGACTGCAATCAATAGCCAAACCCTAGTTCCATCAGGACTTGGGACAGCAGGTGGCCACCAATGAATGAGTAAAGAAGACTGGACTGAGAACTTGCAGAGCAGACCCAATAAGACATTGGACAAGTCGCTGCAGCTACCAGCCTGTCTCTTCTTCTGTAAACTGAATCACTGGGGTCCTTTCTACTCTACAACTCGATACTGTACCAGACATCTTATTTCTGGCTCTAGGCATCTTATTTCTTTTAACGTTCATTCCTTAAAATAACCTTATGCTCTTCACATTTTAGCAATGTGATTGTTTAGAAAAGGATATACTCACGTGTTGAAGTTTGTGGGTAGATACATGTGTACAAAATGAGTAAGTCAACTAATCTTTCAATTGTTAGTGATGGCTGCCAAATTTGTAGGCACTGGGTATTAGGCAATTATAACACTTTCCAGTGATGCAAATCACTTCATAGGACATGGTTGAGTAAGTATCTGGAAGACTCCTCTGTCTCTATTTTTCTCTCTTTTTCTGCCCCCTCCCACAACCCAGCCTAGGAGGGATGTATGATAAAGTGTAATTACAAAATTTTAATGATTCCCTTCAATTGTATTTTTTTCTTAGGGAAAAAGACTATCAAGTAGTTTAAAATACTCCTGCCACTCTAGCCAATAATCTCTTGGAAAACCGATGAAGGGAAACACAGGCCCAACTTCTATGGAGAAAAAATAACAAGGAAGGACTATATACTTTTCACTCATATATCCTGCCCACTTCCTACGTTATCGAAGTCCATATATAGTTGTTGAATTGAATAAAAAGAAAATAATGATACTATTAATCAATCCAGAGGAAAAGATGTTGCTAACATAAAAGAGTTGAAAAGTTATGGCCATAGAAGAAAAAATTTATTTTTGCAGTACAATAGCAAGGACCAAGCAAAACATTGGATTGGCTCTTGAATTTTAAATTTAATTTCCAGAAGAGGAAAGCTAAAATATACTCTGCAGAATTATGGAAGCATAAAAGGATCTTGAGTCATGGATTTTTTTTTTTCCTAGGAAGAAAGGCAGAAAGATGAGGTAGAAATTCTCATTTCACAGAGTCAGTGATTACTTTCTCACAGTATTGAAGTATGTACGTATTATAATTAATGTAAATGAAGACATTATTTTAAAAAAATCAAGAGAACTAGTTTGAATTGTGTGGCAGAGACTGCTAAGCAGTCTTCAATATATGTTTCTCTTCCTTGCTAAGAGAGAAACCCCTAATTTTTAGTTGGGCACAAGGCTACCAAGAAAAAAGACTACAATTCCCAGTTTTCCTTGCAGTTAACTTAGGCTGGACCAAGTTTTGGTTAATGGGATATAAGCAAAAGTAGTATGTGCAACTTCTGAGACATATCTTTAAATGAGGAAGCACCTTTCTCTGCCCCTTTTTCCTCCTTTTTGGCTGGAATACAGAAGCAATGGCTGGCACTTTAGCAGCCATCTTGAGTTGTGTTAGAGCTTGAGAATGGCAGGACACATAATGAAGCTGCAGTAATGAACCTGAGTCCTTGTTTGTTGGGAATCCAAGTGCAGCTCTTTGCTGACTATTTCCAGAATTTTGAAATATGAAGAGATATAGGCTCTATCTAGTTTAAGCCACTGTTCATTCTTTCTTTTGTTTTCACCTGTAGATCCTTCCTTCTTTCATTCCTTCCTTCCTCTTTCCCTCCCTCCCTCTCGCTCACTACCTCTCTCTCCCTTTCCTACCTTCCTCCCTCCCTTTCTTTCTTTCTTTCTTCTTCTTACTTGTAGGTAAATATAATCTTAACTATTATAAACTGACAAGGTCATCTGCCAAAGCAAGTTCTATGAGAATAACTAGGTAGATCATTGGTTTCATCAAACTGTTTTCTGTGGTGTGTGTGTGTGTGTGTGTGTGTGTGTGTGTGTGTGTGTTTATGTGTGTGTGTTTTAAAAATCCTAACTCTGAAGAGGAAACAAAAAGCATACCCTCAATGGAAATAGTTCACTGTTTTTAGTCACTCAAAGAAACAAGCACAACAACTCTGTGTGAAGGACTGACTTGTCCCAACCCAAATTAGGTAGAGTTTCAGTTTTGGATTCTTCCTTCTTTCCATTCTCCCTCCCTTTCTTTCTCTTTTCCCCTTTCCTCCTTCCATTTTCTTTTTCCCACCCCATTTCATTTTCTTCTTTTTACTTAATTTAGCTCTCAAGTTCAAACTAAAGCCTATTTTTAGATTCTTTGAATATTTCATATTTTTAAAATGTTTAGCATTTAACATGATTCTTGCCTTTTATATATTTGCAGGTCCAAGGAAGATGATTCATTTTTCATCTGACACCATTTTTTCCCCTAGAAATATTAATATTTAAGAAAGTTGTGGCTCAGTGCGTTAAGCCTCTGCCTTAGGCTCAGGTCATGATCTTGGGGTCCTGGGATCAAGCCAGGCATTGGGCTCTCTGCTCAGCAGGGAACCTGCTTCCACTCCCCTCTCCCTCCACCCCCGCCTGCCTCTCTTCCTACTTGTGATCTCTCTGTGTCAAATAAATTTAAACAAAAAAAAAAAAAAAAGAAAGAAAGTTTATCCATTTTCTAGAAATCTTTTTTCCCCTTTAGCCCTCAATAAAGAAATTAAGCTTCTTTAGGATGAAAAGAGGGAAACTACCTACAAATTTTAAAATTTTTGAGAATTTTGTTTTTTGGAGAATTCTTTATTAGTAAATACATCTTCTCATAATTAAAATATATTTGCCCCTTTCTGCATTGCACACTATGCAGTTGTATGAGCAATGATTTCTTTTTTCAGTTCTGCTTTTGGACATAACATCCTTGGGTTGTGGGCCTGTTTATCATGAATATTTGAACAGGGCTCACAGACACTTTCACAAACCTATCCGGCAAAGGTTACAGATTACTCTTAAATGGGAAGGAAGCAACAAATACAGACATTCAAGGTTTTAAGTTTACAAAGATCAATTATTTGTATTTTTTCCTACTTAATTCAGTTATTCCCTGAAAGCAGTTACTACCTTGAGCTAAAATGTCAAGTTAGAAGATTTGAATTCTCATCAACTGTAGAAGTTTTCCTAGTTACATACTCAAGTCACTCAGAAATGATAAGCCGGAATATTCACTGCATAGTGAGCCCACATTTTGGGATAGCATACATTTTTAAATTAGGTCTGAAATGAAGATGTTTATTTTTGGCAAGATTCCTTCCTAATTTGCAAGGACTGAAAAGAGCAATTTTGGTTTTTATTTGCTTCTCAATTTAGCAGCATCATGGTGGTTTTCCTCAGCTTTGCAACAGACATTTTAGCTGGTTCTAGTGAACACGAATTCCTCCCAATCATGAGTGCCTCATTCATCAAACGAGACAAATGGCAGCCTTGCTACATTTTATTAGACCTCAGCCTCTTAAAGCTGGCTACCTTCCTTAGTTAGGTCTATAGGAAAGAGTGGTGCTTATTTTTCTGAAGGAAAAAAGAAAGAAGTCAATATTTTGCTAGGGCAACATGTCAAGTTATCTTCAAAACAAGTAAGTCAAAAGCCTTTCAGTTTTTGAGTGGTGTGAACATGTTTTGCTCAGGGACACATACCCTTATGTTATATGGCATGAGAAACTCTTAAGATACTTGGGGGTGGGGAGGTGGTGGTGTTAGAGCTTTTCCAAAGAGATGTTTGAGATTTCTCTGATGTAGACTGTTCTACACCCAAAGATGTGTTCTGTCTCCTGGGAATTCTGGAACAGCCTTCCATGCCCTGTGACTACCCTGCTCAACTTCGGCAGTCATGAAATATGAGTGGAAGAGGAAGGAAATAGAAGGTAGACTGGAAAGCATCCCAATTGCCTGTGGCTCCACACAATGCCAGCAAAAGACACTTAAGAAAGGATAAGCCGTTGTTGACACAAGATAGAAGATGGGGCAGGATTCACCAAGGTTTTATAAGACACGATACCAAAGTGATGCAAAGATGAAAAAAAAAAAAAAAGACATTGGTTTTAACTTTCCCCTTCTGCATTCCTGTCAGCACAGGGGGCTCATGGGGCAGTGGACATTGTAGCTTCAGCTTTACCAGGACTGCCTCTGAGGAGGACTCTTGAACCCAGAGCTGCACCATCTCTCAGAATACTGAGATTCAGGCAAATGATTGCATGCTCAGAGAACATCCATTTTCCCTTACTCTGCTCACACACACTGTGTATGCAGAAGCCAAGATTTGGCACAAATAGAGACATAGTGAACATGTCTATTGAAAGCCCCACAGAATTCTCAGTACTGGATGGATTCCCTAAAGCAGGAGGCAAGAATTGCAAGAACTGGAGGCATTCCCTCCCAAGGAGCAGCGACCGTGACAGCCCTGCATGGAAAGACCCAGATCAAGTATGACCACTGAGCATTAATGCAAAGCTCAGCACTTCTTTTCATTCCTTTGTCATAGGGAAGCAGAACCTTGAAGGAGCAGCCAGGAGAGGAGAGGTAGGGAGAAGCAAAGTGGGGAGGAGAGGAGATCGATCTAACTTGTCTCTGATGAGAGGTGAATTCTCTGGAACTTTAGAACTGTCATTACGGATTGCTGGGATACCATATTAAGTAGTCACCTATATTGAAAATCCATAGAAAAAAAATCACTAGTGTAAGGATTTCCTCCTCAAATCTGTCACCTGCAGTGACACAGGGTATAAGACTCTCCAGGGCACCTTACCAGTATGTACACGCTTACACGAAGTTAGAACAGCAACAAAAGTTAATATGGTGCTAATTTGTGAAATGTTAATTATGTTTTATTTGTGCATGTGTGGGGGGGGGGACAATGAAACGACAGTTTAAAATACTGACATATTACTTTTATTCTCCTGTCTTACTTTCTACATTCTTGATATTCTATTAGCTTTACCCATAAAATCATATGGATTAATCTCGAAATATAGAAGTTATTTTTAATTAGGAAATGCAATTTTTAGTCTTCAGTGTTTCCAGTTGTTCAAATATGGCAATATTTTCAAGCTACTTTTTAGAAAACTTCAAAGAGTTTGGTGTTTTCATGGGCCTTTCATTGCATGTGGTTGTATGGCAAGAACTCCAGACAGGGCCCAACTTGTTTTGATATTACAATACTAACTGTCTCTCAAATATGGGGTGTCAGAGTTTCCAGGATACTTTTTACATTTCATCTGATTCTCACCTCATCCTCAGGAGGTAGCAATTATAGTTCAATCTTACAGATGAGGAAAATTTCAAGGTCAAGATGTCCAGCTCTGTCCAAGGCCAGAGTGGTGGGCCTGGGACCAAACCTTATTGTTTGCCTTCCTGTTCCCCTTCCTTTGGCCATAGCTCTTGCCCCTCTGTATACAGGCAGGACTCTGGACAAGACCACCAAATCCCCTAGGCTTCAGATCCCTCAACCGTGCAATGGCGGCTTGGATTTGATCATTTCCAAGGTCCCTTCAGATGAACTCCTCTTCATTTTGTTGGGTTTATTCAGTAGATGAAAAATGATGGGATTCAGCGTGATTCTCCTGACTGAAGGGGCACAATCCAAACGCTAGTGACTAAAATGGCCCTTTAGAATGCCACAGTGGTTGTCATGAACTGGGAGGAACCAGTGTAGACTTTTGTATTAGTTCTGATTCTTAACAGAGTCTCATAAAATATATAGACTCCAAAAAGAAAAAAAGAACCTCTATACACATACAAGAATTTGCATGTGATTTTAGATGTTTTATAGACTGCCTTCTTAGAGATGTATGGGCTAAGTTAACAACTTTTGGACTGAAGGAGTGCACACGTATGCAATTTTATGATCTAATGGGTGACCTTATGTTGGTTGCTGTACAAAGTGAGCAAAACTTATTTTGATATGGGAAATAATAATTGAAAGATACAAAAGGAAAAACTGTGGTATGCTTTCAAAGCAGTTCTTTTTTTCTATGGAAAATTATGATTCCCATATTACTTTCTTGGTTATTGGGATGGGGTCGGAGAAAGAAAAATTGATGTTGAACAAATATAAATATCTTTTTAAGAAGACTTTATGAGATTCTACACCATTTTAAAGCTCCTTTTGGTTATCTTAAGAGCAACATTCCTGATTGCAGATTTATGGTTGTGATTTCTGTCTCCCAAGCCCAGAAGCTGTATGTTTTGGCCAGACACCAGTGTCAGAACTGGGATAAAGAAGGGAAAATATGAATGCCAGAAATACCCATGTACCCTCCAAAAGTAGAAAGATATCTGCTAATCATGTTATTCTTCCATACCCCCATGATGTAATTTCCAGAACACAGGAAGAACAAGATAACATGCACAAATCTGAAAATTTAGACTGGCGTAATGTTATTCTGCATTCTGGAAAGTTGAGAACGAAGGAGGACTTCAAGTTTTGTTGTGTGGTGTTGAGAAAATGCCCCATGGTCAGTCTGAAACCCAGATCTGCTGTTTGCACCCATTTACCAGCTGTCACAGCTCTAAGATCATGGTGAATAGCCCCCCGTAATATCTGTTAATGCAAAGTCCATTGGGCATAGGGTAACTGCGGTCATCAGCAACATTGACTGGACACCTCAATACAAGAACCAGTATTTCTTTTAGAATAGACTGTAGAAGGCTTTCATGAAAATTTTTTCATTTTGCATGCCTCACATTAAATATTGTTAAAAAATGAAAAAACAATTTTTAAATAATTTACAAGTATTCATGTAAGAAGAAAATGACTAAAAAAATACCCACCCGATCACCTACAACTCTAGTGCACAATGCTAATAACACATAGGCTGTGACCAAAGAACTCGGTGACTCGTGGGGAAGTAGGGAGGCGCAGTCCATCCTCTGGGAGGAGGTGAGACATATCAATGCGGAGAGGTGCTCTCAGTGGTGCCTGGCTTCCTAAGTCAAGTTCAGCAGCCGTGTTTCAGAGTCAGTGTCATTACTTATTTCGACCTAAAACAGAAAATATGGATTGTTTTAAGGAACTTCAAAATTGAAAACTGAATTTCCTTTCTAGTTATCCAGGCTTTTCAAAAGGCAAAGTAGTTTCTGGGTATTGCTCATGCGGTCTGTGTATATAATTGTAGCAATAAGAAAGCCAAAAAACCCCAGTCTTCAGATTAGGGTGTGCAATCAGGTATAAAAATTGTAATATAGGATTGTCTTCCTGGGAGAGAGGTGATGGAGGACTGATGTAAAGGTATGGCCTTTGGTTGCCTTGGGGTAAAGATGACAGGGTAGTAGCATGTCTCCAAACCGGTAGGTACATCCTTAGCCTACAGCATCCTCTTGGTTGACAGCTCAAGAATCATCTTTATCTGGCTTTCATACGCTGATCTATGTCCCTACATACATCTCATCCTGTGATGGTTAATTTTATGCATCAACTTGAGTAGGCCAGGGCACCCAGATACTTGGTCAAACACCAACCTAAGGTGGCTGTGAAGTTGTTTTTTTTAAAGATGAAATTCACATTTAAATCAGTAGACTTTAAATAAAGCAGATTATCCTCCTTGTCGTGGGTACGTCTTATTCAGTCCCTTAAAAGGATGGAAAAACAGAGACTGAGGTGACCTCAGGAAGAAGGAATTCTGCCTCTGGACTGCCTTTGGACTCAAGATTGTAACATCAACCATTCCCTGGGTGTCCAGTCTGCCCCTATACTTGTTGGATTTGCCTGGCCCCGTTATCCCATGAGCCATATTCTTAAAATCTCTAAAATCTCTCTCTCTCTCTACACACACACACGCATGCACGCACGCACGCACGCACGCACACATTATTGTTTCTGTTTCTCTGGAATACACACTCCCATCTCTAGTTAGTCTTGTCTATCGATTCTGACTAGGGAGTGAGCCTTTGGAGGGTGGCGGTTCGGGCTTACGCATCTTCCCACAATATCAACCTCAGTGCACTGTCCACCGCATCGCTGGCACTTAGTATTTGTTGAATTCTTTTGTTCTCTCTGTTTCTCTCATGAAAAAAGTCTTAGGGGCTCCAAGTCCTATTCATCCTTAGGGTTCGGTTGATGTTTTTTGTTCCCAGCAGACTTGTACTCCCATGTCAGCTATACTGCTTTCTCCCCCTGCTGGTAGCAACTCCTACCTTGTCTGCTGTACCCCCTGTGGAGCTAATGGTGTTCAATTTCACATTTAATTTGGCTCTGATTGTTTCACTCAGGTATGTAAGTTTCCTCCCTCCGGCAACATTATAAGTATCCTGCCGTAGAGGTTGTGTTTTGCATTTATTTTATAGCCCCATCTAGCAAGTCTCTTCTGTTAACTCAGCTCAATGACTCTTTCTATAGCCCAGAGTAGACCTTTTGGGTCATAATTTGAAATACCTGAAAAAAACCTCCAACTTTCCAGTTTTACTTTTTGGTAACCACTCTCCTTTCGTGTAAGTTTTGTTCCCTCCTGTAGGCCTCAAGAGTTGGAGTCCTTGGAGTTGGAGTTAAAGCCTTTGCCTTGGGCTCAGGTCGTGATCCCAGGGTCCTGGGATTGGCCCCACATTGGGCTCTCTGCTCAACGGGGAGCCTGCTTACCCCTCTCTCTCTGCCTGCCTCTCTGCCTACTTGTGATCTCTGTTGAATAAACAAAATCTTAAAAAAAAAAAAAAAAAAGAGTTGGAATCCTTTAGTTCTCTCCCCTTCTCCCTATCACATTGTCTCTGCTCCTCTATTTCTTATGTTCTGGAAGACTTATAGCTCACATGTCTACCATTTTCCTTCATTGTAATTTATTTTATTTATTTATGTGACAGAGAGATAGAGAGAGTCAAAGAGCACAAGGAGGGGAATGATAGAGGGAGAGGGAAAGGGAGAAACAGACTCCCCACTGAGCAAGGAGCCCGATTTGGGTCTTGATCCCAGGACCCTGAGATCATGACCTGAGCCAAAGGCAGACGCTTAACTGACTAAGCCACCTAGGTGCCCCTACCCCATTGTAATTTAACAGGGATTGAAACAGAAAGATAAAGAGATGAGATTATAATGGCAGAATTTTTATAGTTTTATACAGTGTCTTAGTTAGGAAGGAGATTCAAGGTCCTAAAGTTCATCCATCCATCTTACAAGTGAATCTCTTCTAGAATGAGGATAAGACAGTAGGGGAAGTTCTTTCATTAGTGGTAGTACTAATGGGAGTCTGGGGGAACTTCTAGGTTTACCCATCACGTTGATCTTTTGTGGTGAGATTGAACTTGTTCTATTCTTCTTCTTTTTTCTACACTTTCAGTCCAAGATCAAGCTTGACCTTGTGGCAAGATACTTCATATGTGGTGTTGTGTCTTCTCATTGTGTCACATCTGGAGACATATAATATCTAGTCATTACTCTTTTAATGGGGCTATGATTGATTAATGAATCTGGGTAGAACAGTTTGAGTTTTGGGAACCATAAAATGATATCTCTATTTTTTTTCTTCAGATGTTCATAGGTATGTTAGTAGTTACCTGAGGGCACCTACCCTTAAGTCAGAATAAAATTAAATAATAACTTAGTGATGTTATTTCAAAGTGTGTCTTCTGAGAGGCCTGTCATTGTCTTTTTTCTATTGCTTTTCTAAGTATCTCTATATTACTTCTGGGGTGTGTGTGTGTGTGTTTGTGTGTGTGTAAGATATCTGTGTATTCTATTTTCTTTCCTATGTCTTGTTTCTTCCCAGAACCTGTCATAATGTGGGATTATAAGTATTTCTTGCTGTGAATATAAAATCAAACAAAATATGTTTCCAACATAAAATCTGGTTTATGTTCATTGCATTTAATTTTAAAGTCAGGGGATATTTTCTTTTGGAAACAGGCAAAATGAAGTTATTTTTCTTAGGTCAATTAATGAGGGATGGGGAGGGTGCTCCATGTCTCCTTATCACTGGGTAAATCTATTTTCTTGCTGTTAATATCTATGACAAGTACTGAGAAGATTCCCGAGAGTTCTCAGAAAGACGGGAATTGACAGTTTCCCTGGAGGGCGCCAAGCAGTTTCGAGTTTTCTCATTTTGGAAAAGGCTTCACATGCTTTACAAGGCAATGTGAGAACCAGTTTCCACAAGGTTCCGGGGGCAGTGAGTTGGGCCACATGTCAAATGAGAAGGTCTCAGTGATCCCAGTGAGGCATGGGGCGGATGGATGACTGACCATCGGTCACGGTCATGGCAGACCCTCTTTGCGTGTTGCTGGCTGCGCTGTTGGTGGCATCAGTCCTTCCTGGCGAGAACGGTGGTGCGTGAACGGACTAGCCTAGTGACAAGTCTGAGCCATATAAACACGGCCGTTTCACCACTACCTTGTCAGATGGCCACACGTTAGAGTATGTCCTTACATAGCTCTTAAATGAATTAGTCATTTCCTAGGATGGATCACAGAGTTATTAATATCAGTGACAGAGGGAAAGTGCTAAGAAGAGAGGAGGAGCACGAAGCCCAAATCATGGCCCTTGGAGTTAAGTAAGGCAGGCGCGCAGGGAAGCCGGGCTCTCCTCTGGGACAACCAAGAAGGGGCTGGGCGCATTACAGGTTGTTGCGCTCTCCATTCCTGAGGCTGCCGGGGAAAGTTAATGCCTGTTGTCAGTGCCCACCATTTCCAGGGACTGATGGAAGCCCTTAGGCAGCAGAACTCCGTTAAACTCAATGGAAGGCAGCTATGCTCACCACTATACCACCAACGCCGACACTACACTCAGCAATGGGAAGGGCGAGCAGCCCTCGGTTTGAGCAGATTACAGACACTTTGTGCTGTGTGCCACAGGGGGCAGAAAGAATAGATAGAGAAATGTGGAAGTGTGAAAGACAATCAAGGGCAAATGAAAACAGGATAAAGACAGAGAGTTATCATTTTATTAATCTTTAGGGGCTTGATCGAGAAAGAGGGGTGATGGAGAGAATGCAGGTTGTAGACTCCAGGTTCCTCCGTGGTTACTGGCTTATTTATTTATTTAGAGAGATCTTGCTTGCAGTGGGGATGGGGGAGTGGGGGGTTGGGGAGGGTGGGAAAGGAGCAGAGGGAGAGAGAGAGAGAGAGATTCTTAAGTGAGCTCCATGGGGCTCCACTCGGAGCTAGATCTCACGACCCGGAGATCATGACCTGAGATGAAATTAAGGGCTGGAGGCTTAACCCCAGCTGAGCCACCCAGGTTTCCCTGATGGTTGCTGGTTTTTAAATCAGTGTTTGAAAGCACATTGTTCTGACCTCCCCACCTCCTATATACCTGCACACATGCACCTCTGTATTGTTCTCTTCGATGGTTCTTAATCTAGGTGCTGTGAATGCAAAGTGGTTTTGGCACCAACTTACAGGGACACTGATATGAAGGAGTTTTTCTCAGGGAAGAGCAGGTGGGTGTGACCGCCTCCACACTGTCCAGCAACCAGTCATTAGAAGCCAATTTCCTCTGGCCTTGAACCATTAGAGGCAGAGAGAGACCAGGCAGTGAAGGAAGGTGCAAGTGAGTGCTGACGGTAGAGCCCACCTAAAATGGGAATTAGCCTCATCTGTCTTTGTATTGCGTTGCAAAAGCCGACACTCAATCAGCAGCAGCCACCGAGCAGGTGACAATTTTTGTGAAGAAAAATGAGTTTCTAGCCAAGGCAATCAGACAAGTGCAGATGCCAGAGAAAAGTCAAGTTCTCATTTGGAAACCTTAGAAACAGATTGGCTGAATGTGGGGGAAGAAGCTTTTCTATCAACTCTCTCTCAACAGCAGTCGTGGGGCATCTTCTTCATAGGAAGGTCTAGCGTCATCCAATCTCTCTATCTCGATTGTAGAACATAGTTCTGAGGGCACCTGGGTGCCTCAATGGGTTAAGCCTCTGCCTTCAGCTCAGGTCATGATATCAGGGTCCTGGGACCAAGCCCCACATCGGGCTCCCTGCCCAGTGGGGAGGCTGCTTTCCCCCTCTCTCTGCCTTCCTCTTTCCCTACTTATGATCCCTCTCTCTGTCAAATAAATAAATATATTAAAAAAAAAAAAAAAAAAAACCATTTTGGAATTCCCACTGTTGTCTTTTTTTTTTTTTTTTTTTGATGAAGTACCTTGGTCTAATTATTTCTATCTGAAGAATTACTGCCACATAGAGTGTGATTTTCCCACTACCCAGTTGCTAACCATCTTGATTTTGACACACTTTAATTTAGCTGCTCACTAGGACGTTCACTGAAATTCTGTGTCTCTTTCATAGCTGCATGGGTTTTCTTTTTGCCAAAGCGATTTTTCTTCCTGAGAAGTAAATCTGCTTTTATTAGCCCTCTCCCCTTGGTATTACTGCAGCCTCTATAATCAGCGGCTTGGTAGGTGTCCTCTTCAAAGCCACCACTGACCACGTGTTTCACTGTTCCAATGACAAGAGCCACGCTTGTTGTTTCCCCTCATGAAAGGTGGTGTCAGCGTGTGGTGGCAGGGATGGAGGAGGTCCTGGCAGAGACCCAGGATCTTCTTATTTGAGACTTACAACTCCCTCACTGATGGCTGTGCCAGGAGATGGACTCCAACACAGGCTATCCCTGACTTGTGTCGCATATGCCAAAGCCAGACCCAGACAACATCCACTGAAATCATCTCTATAGCATCTTTACATTTTCAATATTTTTTTAGATTCTATTTATGTATTTGAGAGAGAGCACAAGTGGGGGGTGCAGAGGGAGAGGGAGAAGGAAGCTCCCCACTGAACAGGGACAGTGATGTAGGGCTGGAACCCAGGACCCCGGAATCATGACCTGAGCAGAAAGCAGACACTTGACTGAGCCAGCCAGATGCCCCTTTATTTTATTTTATTTTATTTTATTTTATTTTATTTTATTTTATTTTATTGGTGTGGTATTTCACCAGTATATGGCTGATGGACCCTGTCGCATCCCCTCATAGTGTGTGTTTGGGAGTGGTGTGGGGGACACCCAAGGCCTTCCCCTTATTCTACACTTCTCATGTCTCTTCCCCATGCCAGACTAGAGTCAAACTCACAGGATCTTCTTTCCCCACTGATTCTGCCAAGTCTGGTCCCTTGGCTGTGGTTTCGTGGGTAGTAGTTAGGGATAGTGGGAATCTTGTTTACCTATACACATTTTTTTTTAATTCAAGTACAATTAACATCTAATGTTACATTGGTTTCAGGTGTACAATATAGTGATTCAATAATTCCATACATTTCTCAGTGCTTATCTTAAGTCTTCATCTTCCCTTCGTCTATTTCACCCATCCCTCCCCTACCTCCCCTCTGGTAACCATCAGTTTGTTCTCTGCATTTGAGTCTTTTTTTTTTTTTTGTCTTTTTTTCTTCTTTCATTTGCTTTTCCTTAAATTCCACATATGAATCAGAGCATATGGTATTCGTCTTTCTCTGTCTCACTTATTTCACTTAGCATTACACCCTCTAGGTCCATCCATGTTGTTGCAAATGGCAGGATCTCACTCTTTTTTATGGCTGGCATCTCCACAGCTTTAGGTATGAAGAGTGATGTTGTTAAATGGTGGAGCCATGGCTGCTGAGGATCCGGGGCATCCCAGCCAGGAGCCATCAAGGTTCCTGCTCTGCTTAAACATCTGCTTCCTCATAGGCTTACTCAGGTTCTGTAACCCCTAGGACAAACACTAGATTGGATAATCATGAATTTCAGCTTCACCCTCTGTAGAATGGCCAAGCAAATTCGCCTCCATGCAGGGGACACCCATTCTTTCTGCTTTCGATTAACTCCTTATCATCTTTCCTAAATCAGCTCAGGTATCAACCCCTAGTCCATCTCTCGCCCCTGCAAGTGAGAAGTGACCATTCTCCCTTCCGGAAGACCAACTCCATATGTAAAATGCTTTCTCCTATCGCATTACCCCCAACACGCACATTCACCCACTATGTGACTGTGGGAACACAAAAGGGGAATTTATGATTAGGAGCAATGACACAATCAAACATGAGAATGAAGGCTTCCTATACAAATTGTCAATGGACTGTCTGCTTGTAACTACCTCTCGAGAGTCAAAAGCTACACTTCCACATACGTGGACTTGGGAGTGTGCTCAGGATTTTCACGATTCCCTTATTAAAGTGACTTCCTCATAAAACCTGGCTTTGCACTCTATGGAGATTAAAGGGACTTAAAGTAAAACACCAACATTCCCTTCCCTGACAAGTCATACAGAAGCCTGGCTTTTTCTCCAACCTGTTGCTGGGTGGTGATATGACATCACTGAGCTGGGCACAACAGAATCCAAAATAATGGCCTTATTAGAAGAAAGCAAGCAGGCTGACTGATGCCAACTGGATAAACAGCACTATTTGCATACCAGCCGGGAGCACACATACTGACCTCTTCAATTGTTTCAAGCATAAGGATTTTAATTTAGGTTTAGTTTGATCTTTCAGATTCCTACTCTCTTCATGGTTGAAAGGCTTTCCATATTCATCTGACAGTAATACGCATAATCTATCAAAGCAGGAACTTGTTCTATTGCTTTCTGCAGCCTGTAGTTGATTCTGCATTCAGCTAAAAAGGTGTGAGAGTTCGTCAGAGAACAGGGTAGTTGAGAAAACCCTTTGAGGAGGCAGTAGAGTTGATCAAAGCCTTTCAGGTAGTCTCATGGGTACAGTTCATGTACTCTTGATTCACAGAGAAAGGAGAGACTGGAGGGAGCATAGACAGTAGTCACTTGCCCCTCGGCCATGCCAGAAAACACTGTCAGGTACACGGATACACACGCCATTCAAAAAAGGAGATTCCATTAACAACATTAATCAATTGCAATTTTAATAACCTTCCTTAACAGAAAGATGTTTCTTACATCTGACCTGCATTTTTCATATTGCAATTTCCTCTGCTGGGTTATTTTTTTTCACAGTGGAGATGAAAGAAATCATTCATCACCTTCTTTATTACCTAATGAATGCACATTAGACTCTCTTAGCCACTACTAGGCATTGTTTCCCTTCTTTTCTCACTTCCAACGCACTCATCATCTTTATTATTGTCACAGTCTCTGCCAAGTTCCCCAGATCCACAAATATCAACTTTTGGAGCACATCATTTACGAGCACTCAGTAGCATGAGTAATGAGGTGGTGACTGCTTAGTCCCAGAGTGTTATATTAGGTGAATGATTTTCCAAATTGGATTTGCTTTAAGAAACCAACATTTATTTAAACATCTATCATTGACAGGCACAGTGCTGATTTGTGTAGCTTGTGAGCTATGTTTCCTTTAGATCATTCTGCCAGAATAAAACTAATTCAACCTGGAGAGGCTAGAGGAGCCAGGGCAGGTTTCTCCAGGCTGGGGGTGGGGGGTGGGAGTGGGGCTGCAGAAGCGGGCAGAAATCACGATGGCAAAGAGGTGGCAGATGAAGACTTCCGTGTGTGTTTCTCACAGAAGAACCTGTTTTACATCATTTTCTTTATCACCACGGAATTGTAGAACATTGGGCTGAAAGAATAGGAAGGTCATCTGAACAAGTCCACAGCATCAGGGGTGATCTTAGCTTATCAATCAGAAGAGATCCCACCTCTACCCCTGACTACTAGTGGGACTTTGGGAAATTTGTCTAATCTCTATGCACCTCTGTTTTGTTTTTAATGCAGTGGGACTATTCATTAATACAGTATTTCCATGAAGGTTAAGAGAGACAATCCATGCCGAATGCCTAGCACAGGATAGATGTTATCTTCAGCAGCTGTCTATTTGTTACTTAGAGTTTTCTAAGAATGGAGTCACTGTATCTATTTTCTTCCTTTCTGGTATTTTACCAATCAGGTGACCACCGCTCTTTCCTTAAACTCAACCGAAATCTGTTCAGGTTAAGGTGTTTTTTGTTGCAGCTGTTGACTTACTTTCATGTCCTCTGGGAAGAGTTAGTCAAATATTTGAGAATGAGGCACAGCCGTAGGCAATTTTACCTACGCTATACTTACGTCATCCTATTGAATCCATCCTCCCTCTTCTGCCTATGAAACCATATTACAGGTGGGAGAACCAAGTCTCAGGGATGTCCAGGAAGGCCCTGACATGACACGCATAGAGCCTGGGTTCTAACCTAATCTTTCTCCCCTTTTTCCCTCTGTAATGTGGCCCCCAAGTTGCATATTTAGTTTCTCTTCTCACAGACTACATTATCATTTTTTTTTTCCAATTTGGCAATCAACCTCTGCTAAGAAAAAAAGTCAACAAAAATACCATTTTAGAAACATAAACCATGTTACCTATTTCAAATTATTTTTGGAATGAATAATAATAATGATGATGTTGGGTTACATGTAAAAGGTGTGGTTTAAATATGAGTGGAAAATTAAACCAATGATTAGTAGTAGCAGGTCCAAATTATTTCAGGTTTGGTTAGTTTTGACCAAGTTAGAAGGATTAATATTTTCCATCTCATCACACCTTTACTTACAGGTTAACAGGCTTTAACTCAACATGATCCTGGTAGTAGGAGTGTGCATCAAGTCCGCCTATGAAATCAACTGAAAATATAACATAGCCCCATGTGAATAAATGTGTAAATTAAAACACACAAAATACTAGGTGTTTAAAATAGAACACACGAAAATAATATCAACAAAAAATCTGTCTACCACAAATGGAGAAATGTGTACTCAATATAAAAGCCTGCTAAAAATATTAGCAATGGTCAAAAAACAGGGAACTTTTAAGAAACACATTAAGAACTTGGCCTCTTATGGACTACAAAATCAAAGTTGTTATTGACTTTAGTGAAAAATGAAGTAACATTAAATAACATTAGATTTTAAATAATGTGTTTGTCCTTGGGCATACGGATATGCCCTTTCCCCTTATATATCAGAAGATATACCTTCTCGTCTTATTGCCAGAATCCATTTTTTTTTTCTTAAGAATATTTATGACATCTTTAGAAAGACCTTTGAGAAGTCACACAATCTATGTCCATGCCTTTTGTCCTCAAGCCGTCCTTGACAAATAGGCATCTTTTGCAAAGGAGTTTTCATCTCTTCTCTGGTTGCATGGTATTGGTCTCACAGTCTGTATAGAATCACTACGTTGGTGACATTCATTCTAATTTCTTTCCATTTTGATCACAGCTTCTGTCTTTCTTTTCCAATCACAATGTCCACGGCTAATCTTAGTTTACACCTTCTGTTCTTTTTTCTTTTCTTTTCTTTTTTTTTTTTTGGTAATCCATTAAAACTATTAGTTACTTTACATCAAATTTTGGTTATATTATGGCACTATAACATGAACAGATATGTAGGCATAGAGGGACACTGAACTCTCGATGAGGGAGCATGTGTTTAGGTATGTAATATTGTGTCATATCCTTAGCTCAAGACAGGCATGTCAGTGACCTGTGATTTAGAGAGGGATGACTGTGTTGGCCTCGAGGAGCTCCTGTCTGAGGTTACCAGAAGTTCTACTGAAGCCTTGACTTAATCTGGGTGTAGTTGATCAATTCCTGGCCTGCTGTATCCTTTTACCTCGATTGAAGAAGCTGAGATAAGGCTGGGTCAATCAAAGCTTCACCAGATCACTGTGTAGACATGAGCTTTGGAGTCCCGTAGGGTACACAACAACCAGGTGGCAAGGACCATTTCCAGTCAATCCCCTTGGAGACTAGAGGAACCTGAAGCCCATCCTTTTCCTACCAGGTCACATAAGTTACCCGGACACTATGTGAGGGAAAGAAACAGTGAAAGAGGAGTCAGTCTGTGAAAAGATCTTCCCAGAGAGAATAAGCAGTGCTTAGGGACCATTTAAGTGGTTGGATTGGATAAAATTTTTATCAGATTAGATATCTAATCAAACATCAACTCCATCTTGCTGACCAATGGGTAGGAAATTAGAAGGAAAATCACACCAATTAAAAGTTGAATGAGCATGTGATTACAAGGCACTTTCCAAAGTTAAAGAGGGTATTATAAGTAAACAAAATTATAAATATATACATTTGTGAATAAAATCATTCAATTGAAAAATCATATTCAAAGTGAAATCTTTTATAAAAATAAAGATAGCATATATCTGTATGCTTTATAGTTTTTTCAAGGACTTATTTATTTTTGAGAGCAGGGAGAGGAGCAGAAGAAGAGGGAGAGAATCTCAACCAGACTCCCTACTGAGCACAGAGCCCAGTGCAGGGCTTGAGACCAGGACCCTAAGATCATGACCTGAGCAGAAACCAAGAATCGGATGCTTAACTGACTGAACCACCCAGGCACCCTGATATCTGTATGCTTTAAAGCCAAACAAAAAGAAAACTTTTTTATATTGATCATTTGAACATTAAAATGTAACATTAACAGAATAATTTTTGGTATAAATTCATGGACTATATGAATCTGCTCCTTTGCCATCTCTATCTCTAATATACCAGATCAGCAGAATATTCCTGCAATACATATTTTTTCAACATGGTTTTATTATTTTTATAGATTAATTTATAATCTTATTCAAAAATTTTTTTATGGTTAGTAAAGTTGAAATTGTTGATATCTTAATCAACTCTGTAAATCATAATATTTTTAACTATGGAAATACTCTCTATATAAGGCACTGGTAATCTCCAAGCAAGTTTGCTAAAGAGTGGATATGTGTAATGTTATTTAGTCCAAATACTCTCCCAGGTACTGTTATTTTTACCTTCATTTAGTGTATCTTTGCCAAGATTTATATAAGACAACAAAATAAATTGTTATCTCTTTATGATTTTTAAAAATCAAATATAAATGCTGCAACATTTTTAGGCCTTCTCGTAAATCAGCTTGTTTTCATTTTGGTGCAGAATATAAATTTGTCCAATTAAAAACAGGAGCTCTATCAAAAAAGTCTTTTCTCAAGTTGAGATATTTCAAGAGGAAATTATAAAATTGAAAAATTAAACCTTGCATAACATTTGAGTTCTCATTATTTAATTTGCCTGGTTCTCTGTGGTCTGCATTAATTTCAATATTCTCCTTTTTATAAATTCTCAATTACTGCCAGGTGCAAATGATGATTTTGGGGTGCTTCATCTGTTGAATGATTCAATTTAAATTTTTCAACTGACCTTGAATGCAATGCAACTAAAATGTAGAAGTCTTATTTCTAAAAATGCTCACAACTATTGGAGGAAAATCAGACTGATTTTCAAAGTATTTTTTTAAAGGCTCAAATGTTCTTAACTATGATGGATGAAAAGAAGCAAAGACAGAAAATGTATTCCGCTATCCTCAAGTTCTTTTTGTTTGTTTTCAACATCAAACTCATTACCACAATGTTTTCAGGTAAATGCAAATCAAAATCAGATAATAACAAATGTTAGTGGGGATGTAGAGCAATTAGCACCCTCATACACGGCTGGAGGGAATGTAAAATGGTGCAGGCACTTTGGAAATCATTCCTAAAATGGTTAAACAGAGTTACCATATGACCCAGTAGTTCCACTCCTAGGTACAGACCCAAGAGAAATGGAAACATTATGTCCTTGCAAAAATTTGTACATAGCTGTTTATAACAGCATTATTCATAAAATCTGAATGAAGAAAAAAATATTCTAGTTTATTTACACTACTGTGTATATGTAAACACTTATATGTAATGTATGTTATAATATTAGGTATATACTTATATTATAGGTATTATATATACATTTATATATACATATACATTTTGAAAACGAGAGTTTCTATTTTTGTCAGTAAAACATTGCAGCTTCATTGGGAGGCAGTTACAGTTCTGAGTGCCCTCTACTAACCCCACTTTGCAGCTATGAGCTGCGGCACCTCTGCCTGGCACTGAAAGGAGTTAGCGGTCTCTGCTATTCCTGTCCAAACACCTACTTTTAATCACTGATTGACCTACATGCTCTCCTTGAAAGAAAGGTCCTAGTTCTACTGTATCCTTAAAGATTTGGGGAGAAGACGGGGTGGGGGGTGGTGGTGTTGGTTTTCTTACATATTTAACCATGTGCTAAAAGGAGAATTCTACTCATTGCACTTGCTTCTCCCACATCTTGAGGAGAATTTGAGCTTGGTGTTCTATCAGTTTACCCAACCTAGATTATCCTAATACAATTATTTAATGGTAATATTTCATTTGAAAAACAAAAAATCTAGGACAAAACCTAAACTAGACAGGATGCCAGGACAACTGAGTAAACAGGGACCGTCTCAACCCAACGAGGACACATGGTCATCCCAGTGGGTGGCACGATAAATGAGCTACACTTTCTCCACATATCAGAATTCTAGTGTGAGGTAAATTTTTCAAATCTTTAAAGTTAAATAGCACATATTGGTAAAACTTAAAATATCAAGCTTCTAGAACTAGACAAAATCTCCAAAATGGTAACTATTAAGGAAAAATTATTGAAAAGTAGGTAATTTTATTTTTATTTATTTATTTATTTATTTGACAGACAGAGATCACAAGTAGGCAGATGGGCAGGCAGAGAGAGAGAGAGAGAGAGAGGAAAGCAGGCTCCCTGCTGAACAGAGAGCCCGATGCGGGGCTCAATCCCAGGACCCTGAGATCATGACCTGAGCCGAAGGCAGAGGTTTAACCCGCTGAGCCACCCACGCGCCCCTGAAAAGTATGTAATTTTAAAAAAAGTTAGATACTTAAGAAACTGAAAATATCAAGAATCCTTTATGGATGGAAGGCAATGTGGTTTTTTTTGGCAACAGAAACCTATAAGTCCATGAGATGATGATGTTCCTGTATAAAAATTAGTTTTTTTATATGTATACCAACACTTGCCATTTGCCAGAATGGGAAGATTGTTCAAGTAAAGCAGTAAATTGGAGCCTAAATGTAGGGTGAGTGTGCAGATTCTGAAAGCTTTCTTTTTTTCCTAATGATGTCAAATGCTTTTAAAAAAATGATTTTTTTTAAAGATGACTTAACAAAAGACTTGAAAACAAGTCAATAGGAAAGACTTTTTTGCCTTTAAGTTTTCCATAAGGGAATTATATTATATGATTAAGAAAGTAAAGCTACTATACATTCTAAAATTCACTTTCATGAGAAAGATGTAAGAAGATACTGAATTAAGGAATTTTTCCAGTAGAACTAAGATACATTTCAACAAAACATGAGAAGGGACAAAAAAGGCATAGACAAGTTTTCAGAGGTACTAGAAGAAGAGGAATGGAAAGGAAACTCCCACGAAATCTAATTATTACAGTGAGAACGCCATATGGGGATCTTTGGCAGAAGGGTGAGAGGCCACGGAAGAGGTGGGAAAGACAGAAGGAAGCTGGGGAGGTGGGGAGGCAAGGAAGTGGGTGTGGGGGGAATAGTTTGCTGGGAGACCTGAAGGACAATGAAGTTGAATTCTGTATACTCTGTATACTTTGTATTAAAGTCTTGAATAGTTGGCCTCAGCTGTCCAGAAAAGCAAAGCCTTGTTCTCTTTACCCATTCTCGGAAACTGAGGTGTTACTATAAAAGATCCCACAGGGACAGCCGGCAGCCAGGAAACCTCATTGTTTGCCGTCCTTTCAAATGT